CCCCAAAACCCCAAAACCCCAAAACCCCTTTTTGAAAGCAAAATTGAAAATTGATCGTATACAGAGTAACCACGGGCTCTAAATGGTTTAGATTTAGGAAGATTTAAGATATCAACTTCTAACTCTAAGAAAATTTATTCTAGATCCTGAATCAATTTTAGCAATGATTTTCTAACTTAAAGCTCTGTTTAGCAAGCCAATGATAAATTTAGATGAAATATAGCTCCTGAGAGGCTCATGATTAGTGAAGGATATCTTTGCACACCCTTAGGGATGTCTATCCATCCTCTAACTTTCCCTATCTCTAAGGGATATCTTACTAAGCTTTTAACTAATGGACATTAGGCATTTTAAAAAGTACTAAAGTCTATCTATGAACGTCATTGGGTTTGGGTTCATTGGCCCACCCAAAAAGTAAAAGATGAGGGTAAGTTTCGGAATAGTAAAGGGATATACTGAGTACATCCAATCGGAATAAAGAGTGTGCTGTCTGTATCGTCAAACACTCTATCGGTGATCGTCTATATTTCAGTTAGTTTAGCTCTGGTATTGGAAAAGCATAAATTTCTGTATCTTCTTCAAGAAGTTTTGGCTATAATCTCGCTGATGTATGTCAAAAAGTTAGCAAGAAGTCTAAGAAGGTCGGATTAGATACTTCTAGACCAAAGAGAGATAGTTTATTCATAAATTGAGAATTTAGGACTTACAAAATTATGATCTGGCTAGTTTGCATTTCTTCTTATGGCTCTATGATAAGGTTAGTTTAGGTTTGGAACTCTGGCTTCATATGGGAAAATGTTAAAACCTGTTGAAAATTTTAACAAGCTAGCTTATAGATAAGTTGCTTGACATCATTTATCAAAGGTGGGGTAATACCTTCATATTGTACTTTTCGGTGAATCTTTTTGAGCAAAACTCGCACTTATGAATTTTTCTTGAATGAAGGCCTCCCTCATTATGCTTCTTCATGTGTTTAGTAAGATTGCCTTTTTGGATAAATCCTCTTTGGCAGATCTTACATTGGTAAGGCTTTTGACCAAGATGGACTCTAATATGGTCCTTAAAATTCCATTTCTTTTCAAACGTTTTCCCGCAGCCATCAATTTTGCAAGTTATTTTCTTAACTTTTCTGCCTGTCTTGGGGTTCAAACAGTAAATTATCTCATGAGGATGTAAATGGAGCAGTTTCTCATCGCCTTCACGATGGCCAGGGTCTGAAATGGCTCTATCCGAGCTAGTTGTATGCTTCTTAGAGCTGTCAGAATGAGTGATATCGGACTCTTGCTCTCTTTCTAGGCCATTTCTTTCTTCCTTTATAAATCCTCTTACAATTTCGTTCAGAGGAGGGATTTCAAACTTAGAAGAAAGATCTCATGGACAGAATCCTCAAATTTTTAGCAACTCTTCAAATGCAGGGTGCAATCTCAAAGCTCCATTATGTTCCTTTGTTTGGACATTCTCTGTTCTTGCACTGGAGAATGGAATAGGAGCCAGAGGAGTTATATGAAGCATCAGATTCACCATTAGCATGCTATCAGGCAGCATCATTGGGTTACTACTGTACACCATATTTTTGATATTGTCCATAATTCTTTATTATTAAGTTCTAAAATAGTATTAAGCTGAGTTTCAATTTAAGAGCCAGGCATTGGGGTTTTGGGGTTTTGGGGTTTTGGGGTTTTGGGG